TGTATTCCTTCCTAACACAATCACTTCGGATCATGCAAAGAAGCTGCGTTTGGGCATTCAAAGCATGCGGGATCCGTGGAATGCATGTGCACAAAATATGAAACCAGTGTTTGTTTCTTATTTGCGTTAATTTGTACAGAACTGCCGGCCCGTCGCCTAGAGGTAACCAGCTTGTCTCATAATCTTGCGGTGCCGGTTCGAGCCTGCGTAGGGGCAGGGCGACCCTCGCAGTATCCTTGGCCCACGTGCGACCGGTGGTGGTTGCGCGTCAGCGAAGCGTCGGTACTGCATACCGGCGTACTGCTGATGCCTTTTATGACATTCGGTATGTTCCCTTGCACCAAGACGACCGCTGTGATCTGAAAGCCCACAGGCATATTATTCGTTCGTTATCCTTTGTCGTGCGTTGCGTTTTGCCGTGGGCTATGTGGGATTCCATGTTGGTGAAGCAGAAACCAAGTGTGAGGAAACAATAGCCCATTTGCTTCACTGAGCGAAGGTTATTTCGCAACACACCATTCACAGCGTAGCTCTTGTCTCCATCTGGTCAGCGGCTTGGGAAGGAAGCGCATTATATTTTTTATGTTTTTGCTGACAGCATGTACAACTGATACGGCTCTCTCGAATCTCGATTCAACCAGTAACGAAATTCAAAAATCAAGCCCTGACAAAACCTTCAATTGAGCCCGAAAAATGCAGTGTTATTAGCAGCTAAATAGGTGCTTATATAGTTCAAAATGGCCTACATAAAGGTTTCATGCTACCATTAACTATCAGAGACCAATAAAATGTCTCTCATTGGCTGGCTCCAAGTCGAAGTCGCTGCAATTAGCTGACTCCAAAGTGAAAACGCTCTCATCGTATGACTGTTGACCAATTATCGAGCTGGCTTTGTCCGAGTTTCTACCGAGGTTACCGACTTGGCACTTGCTTTGAAATCTCTGTGGGCGAACACAATATCTGGGATGTTTTTCGTCTTCAGCTAATGCGTAGGATGACGACCATGAAGTGTGGGCTCGCATATTGATTATACTTCGGCCCATTTGACTTTATTGGGCGGAATCTATTCACTCACGATTTGTGGCATTGTGGACTACGAGTAGAATGAAACGGGCGTCTAGTGCTCTTCCCGGTGTATGGTGTCTGCTTGCGACTGGCTGTGATGAACCTTTTGTCCAGATGTATCCTACTTTTATTTCTTGGACTGAATCCGATCAAGGTTCTTAGTGTTTGTTCGTTTGCCAACGCGTGATGACTCACGGAGCCATTGGAGGCCACCTATGAGAAGTTGTTGATGGCATTAGTATATGCTGCTTACTAGTACATCTAACCGCATTAGGTTCATTACCGCTGCCATGATTTCGGTCTTGCATACGTGCACGTACTTGCTTCCTTCGCACCGCACCAACGGCATAGTGTCGTGCCGCGCTGCACCAGGCTAAAAGTCTCGTGCACCCCGCCTATCCGCTTCCCCTGCGTCATTGTTTACATGACCGTAGCCAACTTGACAGCCTCTTTGTCTGTACCCACTGCGCGGACGCAGTAAAATGCCATTCTGGCGCCCGCCTTCATTCGTGTCGGCTACCGTCAGTACAATTGTTACCACTGTTATCCCCTCTGTATACTACTTTTGTGTCGTTTCAGGGCGGTGGCGGCGTCACCTGCGTGATGGAAAATGGGGCCGTGTTCGAAAAAGCCGGAGTGAACGTTAGCGCAATTCATGGCACTCTCGGACCTGCTGCTTTGAAGGAGATGCGAGCTAGGTGAGCCCGACGTCCCATGTCATTTTGTTCTGTTACTTCGCCTCTGTAGCAAACTTTTTATGCCAGACGGACAGCTATAATATTGCGTTTTATTTCTCCGGAGTATCGAGTCTTTTTATTATCGAGTCCTATCCGCAGCTTACTTGTTATTTCCAAACTTTTGTGTCTTGGGCGAGTGCTGTAAGAGCCCCTGTACTTGCTGTTCATGTTCTTCGCCTAGTCTACATATGTGCTCTGCACTGGATTTAGCTAATTCTTAGGCATAATGTATACTGATCTAGACTGGAAATAGAAGCGTTATGGTAAGCAGTTCGATTGCATCTTCAGGACGGACTGTTATGCAGCGTCTGCTCTCTTGTAGCCTAGACCTTGGTGTCCACAAACCCCGTCGATTGAATGCTTTGTTGGGAATTACCAAGGGCAAATCTGTTTCGGGGTTTTGTTGGCATGATCTACCTTGTTTTTCTCTTCTCCCCCTTTCACCTTTTGAAGCCTTGACTAAATTGTTATTGTGTACTGAATTCATACTGTATTGCAGAGGTGGCGACTCTGGTACATCCGCAGCACGCGTGCGACTGCAAGGGAATGGTGGGTGGTCGGCACGGCATCACTTACAGGTACCGTACTTGACCGAAACACGCAATGGAACCGTGTTCTACCAAATCGGCCAGTAAACCTTGTCCTTATCTCGTGTAATTCACTAGGAGAGTGTTCGGAAGACACGATGGTTGTAACCACGATGTTTTGGGCTTGGTCTTCTCTGCTTCGATCTTCACCTACTTGCGTCGAGGATTTGTCGCGACAGGATTCCGGTGTCTGGACAACGTCTAAAGACTGCGAATACAACGTATATCACACAGGCGCATTGAGTGTATACATACTCGCGTTGTGTCGATGTCGGTTGAGCTCAGAGAGAAAATCTTGCACGCCAGATATCCACATGACCGTAGTTGCATCGTGGCCCACTCCTTTAATTTGGCCATAGTTAGCAGCCTCCTCCAGACTCATTAAATGACGTAGTGGATCGGAGCTGCATTCCCTCAAAAGCATTTTCACTGCTTGTAACCGAACCTAGCATATCAGTCTGTGCTAAATTCCTGGCACACGATCACATCTCGTGAACCATCCATGCTTTGCCGAATCACGTCGACGAGACCTGACGGTTCGCACGACAATCGCAGTAGCACTATGTACTTCTGACGCATGAACAACGAGTCTATTACTGCTCTTCTAGTGAAAGTGTTAATGGCATAGTCTGATATACAATTATTTCTTTACTCCTATCAGTATCTGCAGGTCGCGTCATGATACTGCAATCCACTGCTGACTTTTAGATGAAGATACCACATATGTGTGGATCCCTACCCCCCACATTGTCTCTTCTCAGCTACTGAACCATTATCCGGACACCGAAGTGTAGCGGGTTCATCTGCCTTCACAGCTATCACAGAAATACCGGCAGTAACTGGGAGAAAACGCAAATATGACTTAAAAGAGGGGAACCGACGGGAAAGATTTTAGTTGAAAATAGAAGAGCTATGGGAAAAAAGTTGATGGTAAGATACAAGAGACTGTGCACCTGAACTATGTCGGACAAACTTTTAATCCTCGATTATAGCTTATCCCGAGTACCCTGATCAAGAGGACAACGAACATCAATCTAGTTCAGTCTTTGTTGCTTCATCGACTGACCGCCCTGGAGTGTCACATGCAACGATGTGTCATGTACAGTTAGTCTGACGACAGAAGGCCGATGACCGCGTTCATTTACCTACCGTGACTCGCTTATGGTGGACGCCGGTCATTTACGGTTGTTGTCCCCACCATCAAATAGCCATCCAATGTTTAGCGAAATCCGCAAAAACGCTACTGCGCGTGCAGAGACATGCGTTTCTCTCTCTCTCACCTTAGTGGTGAGGACGTATGGAATTCTCGGCAGACAAGTGATTTAGTGCAGTGCTCAGCTGACTGCAAGCGTAACCTAGCGAGGACGCACCGACATGAGGCTATTTTGGTCATCGAGCGAGCTGAGTACAGATAGCCACAACCTGTTTCCGGCTTTCGTTAGCTGTCAGCTAACTTCACGCTGAGTGCTGAAGGTCATGGCCAACCGTAGGCGTTGGAGTGATCGATGGTTATCTGTGTGTCTCGCTGGCTACGCAGTGAAGTCGGTGTGAGCGACATAAAACGCGCAACGGAAACTGCGGCGCGAATGTGCGCACGTAATGGCAGCTCAGCAAACTGGGTGTTGGATTAACTGAGGACAAGATTAGGCATCGCAAGTAATGTCAGTATCAGTAAATCACTGCCACAGGTAATGGAGCACGAGCAGACAATGCACTCTGGATCACGTAAAGTGCCTGTTACTCAGCGCGCGCTGATTATTCGGCTGTACAGTGAATGCGGTTTAAACGCCGCACCAACTTCACCAAGATACAAGGCAATGAACGCAGCAATGCGTCCCGTCACCGCCCGGTACGTGCTTAAACTAGTGAAGAAGTTCGAGCAAACTGGGAGTGTGTGACATGAAGAGAACCGTACCGCCTCCCATCATCACGGACGACTGTTCAACTTGCGCTGTAATCATTGAAGTGTCAAAAGTCCCGATCTCAGCATTCGTCGGATCACACAGCACTGACACGACCCGATATGCGGTACACCGGATATTACAATAACGAAAATTTCGAAGATTCCGTGCACTTCAAGTGCAGGCTTTGAACCCATGCGATCTGGAGAAACGGCATGAATTTTGCCGCTGGTTTCTGGATCACGAGGATATTTGTTCTGTTATCTTTACAGATGAGGCATTGTTTCATCTGCATGGAACAATGAAACATTACCAGCAACCCACAAAATTTTACCGAATCACGTATGCACCACCGTGGGAAACTTATGGTTTGGGCTGGATTAACAAGCCAGAAAATCTTGGGCCTATATTTCTTTTCCGGGAATGTGACCAGTAGGTTGTTGTTTTGAAGCACTGAAGCCTTGTCTTTTCCTAGCATCGTCATGCTTGTAAATGCTGCCGACATTTGTGCTTCCACAGCTGGAGGCCGAAGGGGCATGCAGTCCCATTTAGTGGCAACAGAATGGTGCACCTGCACATTTTGCTAAAACGGTGCATGCTTATCTCACCGACAAATTTGGTCACCATTGGATCGGACGCGGTGGACCAATGGAATGGCCTGCTCACTCATCAGATTTGAACCCTATGGACATTTTTCTCTGGGGCTATCTGAAGCGGCGAGTGTACAAAACAAGGCCGCGTACATTGGAGCAATTGAAAGAAAATATTGTGAACGAATGTTGCACGATCACGAGGGATACATTGCATAAAGTGCCCGCCAACTGCATCAAGCGGTTTCTGCACTGCATGCAGTACGCTGGCGAACATTTTGAACATCTCCTTCACTAGCATAGATGATCGTTCTAATACATTTCTCTTAATATACTTATCCTCTTTCACAAATGTGTTAACGACTAAACTGGTCCGCTGGCAAATGGGGCTAATCTTGCGTCCGGTTGGATAGAATTCTTAACGTCTAGGCTGTCGTTGAGCATATAAACAGCGTAGGCACCGAAACCTTCGGTGGCTACTTATGGTGGAATCACTGAGTCGTTATGAGCTGTTCGTCCAACTTTAATGAAAAGCCAACTGTGTTGTTGTCTCAGTTTCAGGCTATTGCCTGTGAAGTTTGTGTTCGGGATGAGTTGCAGTAGGTGGCGACGTGTGTAAGTGGGGTCGTTCGGTATCTGGTAGATTAATATGTGGGCTCCATGTAGCCACTTGTAGCGTCTACTGAACACTCCGAGTGTTTTTAGTCGCTACTGGTACAAAAGGTTGCAAAATCTCTTGACACATTTTGTTGCTCGACCATGGTGAGTTTCGAGCGCTGCATGGTCATGCTTTAGCCAAGCGTACCAAGCCTGGATTGCATATTCGACGTGGGAACGCACGTACGTTCAAAAGTGCAACTACCTCGGCAGTTTTATCAACGCCCTTGGCATCGAAAATGCGATCACGAACCAAATAGAAAAAGCTCGGGGCGCTTCTACTAACCTTCGCCACCTATGGCGCCTGCGCGACATCACTATTGCCCTGAAGGCTCGTGTTTACAATGCAACAGTACGTTTGATCCTACTGCACAGTTGTGAAACCTGGCCCCTTAGATCAGCTGACATAAAGAGTCTCGTTATGTTCAACCACCGTTGCCTTCACAGTTTGGCCTATATCTGGTGGGGGCACCGCATGAGCAACGAGCATGTTCGACGCCTTGTTTACGGCACAGGGAAAGGAAATGAACCGCTCAGCACCGTTATTTCAAGCACTAGGCTCCGATGGTTCGGTCAGGTGTTGCGCATTCCAGCCCACCGGCTCCCGCGGCGTGCGCTGTTTGCGCGCCGCGGGTGTGTATGGAAGAAGAGGAAAGGCGGCCAATCGATGATTTGGTTGAGAGGAATGAAGACCCTCACTTCGAAGCTGGCTTCGGTTGGAGCGTATCGGCTCCCTGGTGGAGGACCGAAATACGCTGAACACGTTTGCCTGGATACACTTGCTGATATGGCTAGGAGCAGACCTCAGTGGCGTTCGTGCTGTGAGTTTCTTTGTCCCACCCCATCCATCTTAGCTTCGTCCTCCAACCACGATCTCACTACTTGCCTTGCATATTAATTTTTTTTGCTGCATAGTAGCTGGCTGGTAGCTTTTCGCAGCGATGCCCATCCGTTACTGCTAGCTCAGCTGGCTTGCATCTATTACATTTTTTCCTTTGTTTATCTATTGCGGCACAGTAGCTGAGGTGTTTTCCATCGTTAGCTAACGTATAAAATGAATGAATGATGGATGCGGCCCCATATCACAGTGACCCCTGTTGGCAGCATGCCACTGACATATCCTTGACCGTTTCTGTACCAACTACCTGACCTTGTCATTTACATGACCAAGACCTTTGAACTGTTCTCTTGTCTGATGATTTAACTCATTTTTTTCGTATCCGTTGTGGTGTACAAGCCTGATGAGATACACCGAAAACGAGTTTGTTCGCTGACTCGTGTTTTGTAATAGATTCCCTTTTGCGATTATCTTTTTGCGATGACTGCGCTACCTGGCAGCTTCGGCGGTGCAGCCGTTCCAAACCAAACAATGATCCAAAGTCGCAGCCTATCGGGTGATTCACAGGTCTGTAAATTGTTGATTGTTGTCTGCGCTTCTGTGTTCAGGTCAATCGGTGTCATCTCTCTGGAACTCCGAACATCTGAAGCTATTTACCTACGTATCGATATTTTTCGCTTTGTTTGTGGTAGCAGTCAACGCAACTATATAGTATCTCTCCAGTGGCATTGAAGCTGCAGCGAATTGTGTCGCCTACATCTGTCATCCGAACTAGGCATGCAGCATTGCTTTGTTGATTCATCTTCCCGCATTCACCTACGGAATGTAAACTATTGACAATACTTCACCTCGGTATCGATACTACTGTTTGGGTTCCAATTGGCACTTAATCCAAGCTTTTAGAATCTGCGCCGCTTTTACAGCATCAGAAACTGTAGTGAGTAGTAGTGGCATTATCTGCGTTGGGACTCCTAGGATGGCTTGTGCTGTGTGACGTTTCCTCTTAGATGGCGCATCAACTAGAGAACGATCAGAAGAAACTCGGTGCGGTTGATAGCGGGAATATAGGAACAGACAATGGAAAAGGACTCCTTTTCTCGGCATATACCTCGACTTTAATTGCATTCCTTTAACCCGCGAGCCGCTTGGTTAACTTGGTCATGCTTTTCTTTGTTTACTGACTCTTGCAAGTGAATCTACCCGATGATACTCGACCCAGTCGACCAAGTTACAGACCAGCTAGCGTTGAGTTTTCATACACTGCGATGATCGCCAGCCGTATTAAATGTACCGTGGTCCCTTGCAATTTGACTTGTGCAAACAAACCATCGTAAAATTTCTCTTAATGAGGTCATGTGCTGCAACAATCTTCGATGAACGTTTTGATGCTAGATAACCGATCATCTATCATGGTTTGACATTCTTCATTGAAAGCATGACTCTTTTTTTACCCCGCTTTCGGTAATCCGACCAAGTTGTCTTTCATCTAAAGACTCTGACCGCAGTTCCACTCCTATTGGCTCTTGTTATTCTTAGCCGTCATTTGCCATCAGCTGTTCTTTCAGACTGTCTTGTAGTTGTCCACTCTACCTTAACCCTATTTCCTTTGTCCCACTGCCTGCAGACATAAAGAAATTGAACTTGACAAGGAGTATGCTTTTTTCGCGTGTGGCATCAGTTCAGTCATACATCCGGTATGTTTCTGTTGTTCATCGCACAGATGATGCTTTCGTACTTGTGAGGGGAACACATAGTAGTGAAACTTAGGTGTGCTTTCACAGTTTTTCTACATTGTAGTGGCCCTTTGCTCACTTTTTCCGATGATTATTTTGCGCCGATTTTCTTGGTCCTTCACTTCCGCACTCAGACGCAGTCACACCCCACTTTCCGTCGATATCTTTTGCTTCTTCTTCCTCAGCATGAGAAATCAGCCTACAATTGTTTATTCTTCAATGTTTGGTCCTTGAGCTCTGATGTAGTGGCCGAGGCCAATAGATAGTGATTCACTACTGGGCTCCAGCGCCTCGCGAAAATACACCTGCTTAGCACCTTTTCAGCTGTAGTCGAAAGTGGCTACTTGTTTTGTAAGGGTGATTGGATTCGGCTTCGGTTTGTTCGACTCCCAGAATCCTTCACATGTACGGAACTGTTGTTGAAAATTTTGCGTCTAGAACGTTACATTGTCAACCTTGTTACCGCACACGCATCCATGCACCCAAGGTACCGATGGGTTATCAATATTTAAATGCTGGTGCCCACAAGACATCCCTCGCATCTTGATGTTTATCGGCTGGACCACATAAGCTAATGTCCAATTTGACGGTTTGGCCATATCCGCATGCTTACGCACCACCACCAAACTCGGCCGGTTTTCTCAATCACCAATGGTTGAATGAGGTTCCTGTGGGCAGACAAAGCGTAATAAAGCTAATCCAC